GTGGCATTGTACTTTGAAAGTGTCACTGAAGCCTACTATGCTTTTTTTCATATTGTTTGCAGGCTTTCCAGGGTAAATGATTCTACACTGTGCTGCAAGTATTTACAGCAGCAGAAAAGAGTAAGCAGCAACAGTAACTACCGGTTTTCTAGGCTGGCCCCACTTTTAACTGTTTTCTTCATGCATATAGGCTCTAAAGACTTATAGGAAAGGTACTGTAGTAATGAAGAAAAAAAAAGCAACTCTTTTCACTGTATTCTGAATGAATAAAGGAAACGTTTCCATTTACCGGATACTTTTGGTTGCTACGATACGCTCAGTTTGCATATGATGCCAATTTACAAAGAGCTGCAAATATGAACGATTATGCCGAATTTAAACATCTAGGAGACCAGCTCTCTTCCTCTCTCCACATATGCTGTTTACAACTCCTATATTTTTCTGGGAAGCTCATAAGTAATCACAGCACTTTTTCATATCTAATATGTTTATCACAATACTGTACCTTTATCTGTTCTGCTGAAAAGCGAGGTTGTCAACAGATAGAATTAAGTGTATTTTCCTGTCCTGGACTGTTAAATCCCTCAATCAAGTTTTTGTTACAGTCATCTAGGCTAATGGTATCACTGGACATCTTGGAGTACGTAGCTTGGCCTGTGAAATCCAAGAGATCTTCAAGAGCCTTGGCATTACTTGTCCCATTTTGGTCCAAAGAAACACCAGGCATGAGTTCATTCATGGGTGAATATTCGGGGATAGAGATAAGTTCTTCTTTTGAAGCTGGGCTATACAAAAGATAAACAAAAGGAAGGTGCAGAATAAGAGGTGTGTAACTTTTCATTAAGCAACAACCAAATTAATCTTCTGACTGTCCAAAACCTACTACTTATCTTAAGGCCAGCTGCAGCAAGCCTTTACCTAGAATATGTCCCAGTCCAAACAAAAAGAGGTTACCCTGTTCAGGATGGAAGGTCACACTTAATCTATAGTCCTTAAAGATTAAGGTTTGAGGTAGCTGCGTGATGTGAAAACTCATCTCCCAAAAACACATTTCTGGTAGTTTCCTGCTAACTCATTATTTCAGTCTCTGCACCATTTCCCTACTTAAACGTTTATTGCATCTTGCAAATTATTGTCCTGACCCTGTAAATATTTACCTAAAGCACTTACGCTTCACAACTTAAATAAAAAGTTATTTCTTACAACCTTATGATATACTTCAGACATTAAAAATCCTAGAATTTAATTAATGAAGTGCGGCTACCAGCTGATGCTTTGCCTAGACTAGTAAGGCTAGTGCATTTCAGTTTGGAGAAGAGAAGGCAGAGGAATCATTTCGCAAAGATTTCTAAAACCATGAAGGAGTGGTGGATAAGTTGAGGGCAAAACTATTTTGCATCAAATCCTGCAACACAAAACCTAAGGGGTGCTCAGTGACACTAAGAGACTGGGTTTAACACAAATCAAAGAATATAATATACCTAGTGAGACTGTACTGTGGAACTTGCTGCCACATGAAGTCCTGGATGCAAACATTATCAGCAGGTTGAAAAAAGAGTTGGATAAACTCGGGCCATCAGTGGATATTTCAAAGGGCAAGGCAGAGTTGTATCTCTTAACATCCCTAATATAACACTTCTGTGTGGTCTTGGATTGCAGGAAGTGGTGGGGTCAGGTGCTCTCCCTAATGAGTTTGTCTTATTGATACTCTGAGACCAAATAATGGGCTAGATAGACTTCTGGTCTGTCCCAGTAGGGCACTTCTTACGTATTTATGCAGATTTACTGGAAATAGTGAAACAGTATGAGAGGTTAAGTTGGCTTGCTGATTAAGGAAGCACCATATAAAAATTCCATGTTTAAAATTCAGAGCTAGCTTTCTCATAGCACCCTTAAATTATCAACTTCCTTCCTTCCTGCAAGTCCTTCCATCAAAATCCAATAGTATTTAATACACGCAAAGTTATTTACTGGTTTCCATACATTTGTTCCATTTAAGTACTTAAAATTCTAAATTAATTATTTTCTTTATTCTGTTTGCATGGAGGGTGAAAAGCTCATGCATCATAGCTACGCAATCTTGACATAAATTAAAAAAAAAAGGTGACATCTGACAATATCTACAGTAGCTACTTTCACAGAACAATCCGAAAGGTTTGGGCAAACTTGTATGGAATCCATCAGTAAGGACTGTGGAGGATTTCAGAGCCCCCCCCCCGCCAAATATGTGAGAGTGGGATGAGGTTCTATTGACTCTTGTCTGAAACAACCAATTTGCGTCTCGACAGGAGTGGAGTACACTACAGTAGACACCTGACTGCCACATTGTGGGGTAGGTGAGAAGTAAAGCAGTAAAGTATTAACAAATGAAACAGAAAACTTATTGTGTGTCTAATATGAATTCCACAATTTCTATTGGTAGATACGGTCTGTACCTCACATCCATGGACTGAACCTCATCTGTCGAATCTTCCATGCTGTTAGATTTCCCATCAACAGTTTCCAGCTGAATAAGTCCTGGAACTGACTTTAGTCTATTAGCAACTACATCTTGAGAAGGGATTACAGAGGCAGCACTCTCTAAGCTTTTATTTTTCAGGCAGGTTGCCAACCCATTGATCTCTATAAAAGAAGGTTAGAAATTATGACAGTAGCAAATTATGACAGTAAAAATTTCTTTATTAAAATTGTTTTAAAAAAAAAAAAAATCACAAATGCTTTTCAGTTATAGGCCGAGTAGATAGGAAGACTGACAATGCAGTAGGACTCAGTTCATCTGTGACTCATCCTACTATACTGTCAATCCTCTTTTCCACTCTAAAATTGCTCTTTATGCTACATCTTTTGAATTTGAGGAAACAGGAAGAGAATGTATTATCTTTTATGTCATGTACTAAAAGCCTTAGCCTGAGGAAGTTAACAAAATATAGATAAATGCCAGATATGTATATTTTCTTTAATAGTTCTTTAAATAATGCTTTTTTCATCAAGACAAATGTAAGATTTAGAGCAATGCTATAAAAAGCTTGCAAGCTTGGTTGCGTGCAAAAATTTTCTACCTACAAAATTTGAAGGTGGTTGGAGCAACCAAACCTATTGGCAGACTGGAACTTCTCATTTACAGAAATGCTATGTCAGGTACTAAAATGGAGGAGAAACTTTCTTCTGCGTCTGCTTACGTGGCAAAACAAAGCTGAGTCCAGTTTCTAACATTTGTCACTGATGCAAATGTAGCTGTAGAGATGAAAGCAAAGAACCTGTGATAATACACAGTGCTCTGTCTGAGATTACAAAACTCTGAAAAGAACTGACTGTGAAAACAAGTCAGAAAAACACGGCGATTTTTACCTGGCTGGTTGAGAACAAGGGCCTTTGGTTGCTTTTCCACATTCAAAGTTGATGGTACCTCCAGTTTTGGCTCTTCCTTCTGTAATCAAGTAACGAGTCAACTGTATTAGAAGAAGGACCGTAACCTTCACAGAACTGACTGGACTCGAAACTTGTGAGCCCAGGGCCACGGAGTGGTCAAAGGTCATTGACAGCAAGAGAGGATTTTTTTTTTCCTTTTTAATTAGGCATAGGACTATTTTTTTTTTTTTACTTCAAAAAGACAACATTCTCTGAAAGTAACTGAAGAAACAGTTTCCTTAGTAGAAACTTAGAATAGAAGTGAAAATTTGACTCTCTGTCACTTCCTAGCTGGACACAATTGCCTTGTTCTCAATCCTACGTTCCTGGCAGACTTAACACAGAGAGCTCAGTAACTAATTCACTGGCTAGTACAAAGCAGGAGAAGATACATCACAGCAGCAAACATTACAGCTCCAGCATCCAGGAACGGGCTCCTGCCACCTTGCTAGAGGGAGGTAAGTCTGCAACAGTTGCATAAAACTGTGTCTCTGCAGCAGTGGCACAACAATAACTGTGACACAGCAACAGTCATTCTCAGTTCAAAATGCAACTAAAATTTGAGTGTAGAGTGTACCTAAGTGTACCTACTAACATGGAGTTTAATTTTCAGAAATGGATTACACAACAAAACAAAACCCCCCTGCAACCACACACTGTTTCATACCTTTATTTCTGGTGTTTCACTTCTCCTTGTTCTCTTCATTATTTCATCTATTCTCTAGAAATCAAAATAAATCAGAGGATGAGAAGGCAGACATAATATTTAACACAAGAGACTGATAAAGGAGAAAAAAGACAAAAAGAAAAACTTTTCTCTACTGTCATGACCCTGCTTGTCTTGAAAAAGGGAGAATAAGAAAAGAAAACAGAAAACAGAAACCACCTGTAAGCTGGCTTTCATGTACCAGTCTCACAGAACATGACTTTTTCAGTAGATGCAATTTAGAGACAAGCTTTTTAATACCAGGTCTTTGCAGTTGTGAGTTGTGCTCAGCTCTGGAACAAGACATTTATTTAAAGCCAACAGCTCTTATTTTCATCTAGCTGCTTTTCCAACTATTTCCAAATATTTCCTTTAAAAATAGTTAGGCTTTTTGGAATGGAAAAGTAAAATGAAATATCTGAAGTTATTCTTGCTGGAAATGTGTAAGGCATTACCCTAAAATACTAGGTTTTTTTCTCCTTTGTTCATTAAAAAAAACCCTCCCAACTAACATTTTCTTTTTGCACTACTGTGCAAAAAAAGGAAAGTATTTCAGATTTAAAGACACTTTGGTTTGGTATTCTAATCTGCAACTGCAACATGTCTCCAGCTCAGTGGTAAACAGTTAAAGGTAACATATTGGAACAACATATATGGAAAGATGACCTTTTATAACGAGACAGAGGTTCTGCAGCTCTGCAGTTGTTCTCTCTTTCCTGTCACAAAGCTGTAGATAAAGCTAAGTTATGCAGCTCCAGCAATTTCCTTGTGCAGTAGTGGCCAGACAGCCCTGCTGCCTCTGCATAATGCAACCAGAGACAAGCCAGGTGGAAGAAAACCTGTTTGTTAATTGCATTAACTTTCTCAATTAATGACACGGAGCTTTTGTTGAGTAAGTTTTAAAACAAAGTCACTCATGTTCCTCAGTAGCCTGTGATGTCCGGGGTTGGGCAGCAATCAACGTTTGCCTTGGCATGCCCTTCCCTGTTTGTCTCAGGCATTTAACTTCGTGGGTAGAGGCTAATCCTGTGTTTGTTCAGTGCCTAGTAGAAAGTCATTTGCCTTAGGCAATTCCAGTTTGTTACAGATTTTGATGTCCACTTTCCCCTAACATGCAAGTAGCAAATACTAAGTTAGGCATAAATACCAGTCTGTAATCCCTCCAGACTATTATTTCTAGATACTATTGGGCACTTCCTGGGTTGCGTGTTTAAACAAGAAATGAAATAATTATCTTAAATGAGACGCAAATATCTACCTTCTTCCGCTCCAGTCTTTCTTGCTCAATTTGCTGCATGATTTGTTCCCTTTCAAGACGAAGTTGTTCAGCTGCCTCACGGGCTTTGATTTCTGCTTCTTCCCTCTAATCAAAATGGGTAAAATATGATAGGGACATTATTTATTTCAGGCCGATTACCAGATACTATGAAGTATTTATTTATATGTATATATAAATATATGTATACATATGTATGTGTATAAAGTTTTACATGTATATAAAGTTTCACATTTGTGTTTGAGATGGTACCTGTTTCTCAAGTTTGGCTTGGAGCTCTTTTTCTTGCTTTTCTTTTAGCATTTGTTCTTCCTCAGCTCTTCTCCTGGCTTCCTCTTCGGCCTTTTTTCTAGCTGCTTCTTCTTCATGTTTTCTTTCCTCCTCCTTCTTACGAGCCTCTTCCTCTAGACGAAGTCTTTCTTCTTCTGCCTTTCTTTTCTGTTCTTCTCTTTCAAGCCTGCAAAAAAACCCCAAAACAGTATGTTCAAAAGTTTCACCTTGTTTAGCATGAATCCTATTGTATGTATGGCACGCATCAGCAGTAACTGATAATATATGCATGAGCACACATTTTCATGAAAAATGCCAAGATACAGCAAAGAGGTTGAGCCCGTGCCCAGAAATCAGGTTGCTATTACACTTTTATTCCAATCTTATTTTCATTGCCTAAAATATTTCCTAGAAATTATAATCTCCCTTGAAAGAAAAGGTGTCAAAGAAAACATTTCCATTCTCATTTTAATTAAAGCTTCAATAATAAAAACATCCCTCTTCCCCTGTACTTTACACCCAGAATGCTGGTATCCTCAAACAAGGAAGTACTTCTTTCCTTTGTTTCAGCTGAAGATAAACAGATTCAATAAGTAGCAGCAAAGTCCACAAAACACAGTGGTACACTAGAAAGGGTGGGTCTAAATTCCACCTGTGTTGTTCCCTGGCCCACTCAGGGACATCATGCTCCTTTATCACTATATTCAAGAGCTGCTTTGACAACTGATCATTCTTATCCTTGCATATCAGGCATTCAGGAAATATTTTCAAATTTCCCCTCCTCACCATGTTTTCAGTGAGAACAGACAAAGTTGCATTTAGACATGCAGAGTTAGTCATTTAATATTAGGGGGTTGAAAGAAGGGCATGATTTGTTGACACTTGCAACCAGCATCCAATGTGGAGAACAACCTAAAAGCTTGCTCCCAGAACCGAGCCAGAATTTTGCTGCTTAGACATAGCAACCTTCATTGTGCCCACATTTCTAAAGCCCTCAACTGCCTACAACAGAGTTGGGCAGGGAGATGAGCTTCAGGTTAATTTATTGAAGGACACAAGCCTTGCCACTTAAGGCATATACTACTACTGCAAGACTGTTTCTTCTACGTGAACTAGCCCATTTAAAACTGCCTCAAATGTTTTTTTACAAAATAAAATACTTCAGCTATGTCCACACTGCAGTTCCCACCTTGATTCTAAAACCACCATGGTTTCAAGCATCCTCAATGATACAGGTTAAATTATTAAGTAATAATTTTCACAAATTAACAGAGATACCTCTCCTGTTCTTCTCTTTCCTGTCTCTCCCTTTCCTCTTGTTCTTTTTGCAGGCGGGCCTGTCGTCTTTTTTCAGCTAGAATTTTTGAGGCTTCTTCTGCATCAGTTGTTCCTGCCGTGATCTTCCCTGGGAGAAGATGACCAAGGGTGGAAAGTTAGGCAGGGAACTCAGAGTGCTCAGCACTTCCACACTCAAACAGAGGCTAAAATGGGCCTGGTTCATGCTGGTATGAGACCTTTGCTTTTCAAAAGAATACATCAGCATTTTCAGCAGCTAGAATACAGGATAGGTAAGGGCATCCCTGGATTTCAACATTTTCACATCCTCATTAACAAATGTTTTTCATACATGGGTAACCCTGGTGAAAGCTATACATTTACTGGTTCTAGTATGTACCTTTACACATTCTCATAAACCCATGACTGAGCAGCTTCATAAAAAAACCAGTTCATCACTGTTTAAAAGCCTCACAGACCCATGATACCTTGCAATTTATTCTTGCAGTAATACTCACCTTCACTATTTTCAGTCTTTCCTGCGGAAGCCACATGCTTCTCAGAAGCCACATGCTTCTCAGAAGCCACCTGGCCTGCCTCATCAGTGCGTGCTCCTGGGGATTTTTGATGACTGACATTTTCTTTCTCCTTTTCTGCTTTCTTTTTAGGAGTTTCCTGGTTGAGATTAGAAGTAGCACGATGCTTCACAGGAGAAGCTGGATATTGTTTGGCGTTTTTAGGAGACTGAGGATAAGTCTTTGCAACTGTCCTGATGAGGGAAAACAAAAATCAAAACAGGCCATTCATTATGCAACTTGGAATCAAGTTCTGTCTTTATGTATATCATTCTTTCTTGTCTCTGGCTACATAGTAATATCAGTTGTTTTCCACAGTTATCCCCGCTGAAATGCAGGGAATTACCATGCAAGTGCAAATGCTTACAGAAAATTCTCTTTCAAAAAGACCAATAATACTGTCCAAGTTGTTGGAAAGAGATATGACATCATGTACTACCTAAACCCAATAATTTTCATGATGGTCATTTCATAACAATTTTGTCAACATTACTGTATTCAATAGTCCATCTCAACATTTAAAGCAAAGCTATGGCTGTTTTCTCTCTGCAGAAATTATGAGTTGCAATGTGCTGCTTTCATCTGAATACAGCCTTCTCAAACATGGTCTTTTTGTAAGAGTATCCGATTTTCTAAAATAGCACCAAATATTACTATATACCAAGGTAAAACTGCGCACCACAAAGAGACAGAACTGACCAAACTATTGTACAGTCAGCTCCACTATTTCAGTTAGCACTTTAATCAGCACCAACACAACAGACTCAAGGCTCGAAACTCAGCCCCTGCAACCTTTTACACGGCTGCACTTGTGGTGATGGCAATGCACAGCAGCAATGCAGCTGACGGCTCATTTGGCTGTTGCATACTTGAGGTGAAATGATAACCTTGAAGTCATCTCTGGGAAAGCACAAGGAAAAAAGATTCTTGATATTAACTGAGAATATGTGCACATTAAAGAACAGATTACGAGCAAACATAAAGCTATACACAAACACCATTCATTATTTACATAACACCAGTAACTAGCACTAAATACTTGTAACATCAAGAAAGGCTGGGCTGTGTGACTAAGTGGTATGGAACTAAAGAGATTACAATCTTAAAATAATGATTTATGTGAGTCCCATTAGAAGAAATAATCCTACATTAAAGTGAACGTTACACATGTAGTTTTAACCTTCCTCATGGATATGCAATTATGATATAAATGTATTATCCCTTATCACTTTTTTCATCCACACAATATAGAGTTTCATATACTACAGTATGTTATCTGGACTATACACTCATTCTGGCAGACCACAAGCATGAAATACATGGACAATGGCTGCAAATTAATGGACTAGAGTGGAAAGATTTGTATAGATGTAGCTACAGTATTGTGTGGCCAGAGACTATTATAACCAGAACAGCATTTGCATTACAGAGCAGACAAAAACTAAATGTCTTTCAACTCCCCTCGCCCCCCCCTCCC